AAAAAAAAAACTTCATAAATCACGAAAATTAGTACAAGTTCAGTGAAGAACCTATAACAACAACATGAGAAAAGCGGACATTTGTTATAATTCTCTCCGTCTATAATTTATGTTTGTGATTGCCAACAGGTGTCCTGCAGACCCCGAGTCTGACATGTGGTATCGTGGTGAACGTTGTCAATATTCGATGAGTCACTCCAGTCTCATTCTGATATTCTGGCTCGTACTCGCCTTCATTTTGATCTGTTTTATTGTTATGATCCCGTGCGTAACCAAGGTAGCGAAAAGCAGTTTCCGAAAAGACGCAGAAAAGGCCAAGAACTCTAAAAATCGGCGGGAAACGTAGGTGTACATCTATTAAATACTACAATGATTGTCGCAACAGTTTTTCGTTATCCTTTTAAATCGTGATTTAGCCCGTCTTTCTAATTCTGTGGGCGGAGCCGAGCTTGTTGTTCACTGAGTGTTACGTTTGAGAAGTGACAGAAGGTATTTGTTGTAGGGATAACTAGTGAACATGTGGAATAACAATCGGATGATATTCAGGTGGGAAAATCACGGGGGGAGAATATAATGACTTTACATCAGATGTTCCGCTTACTAAATATTCACAATCAATATTTTGTAGATCTGACGAGAATAACGCGCTCGATATGGTGATAATAAATCCACGATACGATAGCAATCACGTGAAGACTGACGATGAATCAACGGACGTGGCTGAAAATCACAAAACGGACGCTTCGGAAATACGATTCACTACGGATATCCCTACTTACGACCGAAATGAACCGCGTTATAACGGAAATGACGTAATCACAAATCCGAGTGCCCTGATGATGAATTCGGAATTAAACCAATTGGAGGAAGACCCACAAAGTCCACTGTATTCACCAACCATGCCCGTGTTGGCATACGAAGCAAAAAACATGGTTGACGCAAGAAACTTTAAAAGACTTAGCGCTTTACAAAATGATAAGGTAAGTGGCGTTGCTCTCGTGACGGTTTTAAAGCGGGAGGGGCGTTACCTGCGCACGCGCGGGAATTGATTCCCAAGCGACGCACGTCGTTCACGTAGCCTACCCAGTGTGCATTGCGACATCAGCGTATTCAACGCAGCGCCA